TATATATATATATATATATATATATATATATATATATATATATATATATATATATATATATATATATATATATATATATATATGTGTGTGTGTGTGTGTGCGTGTGTGTGTGTGTGTGTATGTACATTTTGTTTAGAATATTATAAAAAAAATGTTATAAAAAAAGAATTGGTTGACAAAACATATTTTGTCTTTTTCAGTTATTGTGCTCTGTGCGCGTTTTTTAATAATTTAACATATTTATATTGTTCTGTTTGTTTATAGAGATACGTATTTAAGGTAGCCTATATACAAAGCTTACCGGTGTCTTCTAGCCTTGTATGTCCGAGCGCGCCGCTGTGTCCCCTTTGCTGGTATGGCAGGTAAGTCCCAGGATGATGAGCACTCACAGGAGCGTGATAATGTGGGTAGCCCAGAGAGCGGCCGTACTGAGATGTTCCCGCCGGGAAGGGCCCCTCGTGCTGTGAATGGCCCCCAACTGCGTGAAGGCCGTGGACCGGGTAATGGTTGTGCGCTAGGCCAGAGGTGGGTTGCTGGTGTCCGGGGTAACCGTGGCCGCTGAACTCTAAAAACGCCGACTTTGAAGGGTCAGCTGAGACTAATGCGTCCGATATAGAGCTCATAGTCATCGCTGATGTGAGGGGCACTTATACGGTCCTCCAAACGGTAATCATTATACAACGACCAACCAACGCTCAAATATTTTGCAGAACTTCATGAGACGAAACGATCTTGAAGGAAAAGGGAGGTGGGTGGAGAACAGTGGATTTAAGTCGGTCTGTCTTCCGCTACATCCAAGCTGAAGGCTTTAATAACCTTCTGTGTTGAAAAGCCATTTAGTCCACACCACAGTTTTAATGTCATGCAATTAAAAGTTAAAGCAAAACAATCAGCGGCAGGCAGCCAGAAAGCGATCTCCTCACAATCCTGTTTAAGTTTCTTTTGGTTTGTAAGAAAAAAAAAAAAGTCAAAGTTAACTACACAGACGTTCGCTTCGTCCGGTGTTGTAAACAGGACTGACGAGGCGCAGAGGATTTGCGCGTGTGATCCTCATGTTCATCTCAGCCCACTGTTCACCACACAAACACACACACACACACACACAAACACAAGCATAGCCTACACGCTGAAATATGCGCTGTGCTGATTGGTTGCAGCACCTTACTAGAGCGAACAAATCAAAAGCAGCACAGGCGCGACGGGATGTGGCTCACTGAGCCTGAGACTGAACGGACTCAAGGAAAGGATGATTGTCGGCTGAATTAAATACTGGTTAGGGTGCAATAGAAATATCTTTGGCTGAGCAAACGAACAGATAGACTAATTAGGGACAAGTTACAAATCAGTTAGTTTTTCTTTTATAGTTCAATGTTTTTTCTCACTTCTTATATTATATTTTTTATATTTATTATTTGCGCATTTTTTAAATTTAGGAATCTAAAAAACAGAACACAACTCTTATTGGACAGGCCTAAAGACCCACTATTATACAGAATATGTATTATTCCTCACATAAGACTTAAGAAAACCTTTCCCCATTAGTGATTAATGGTTTCATTAGATCAAAATAAAGCATATATTTAGCAGATATATTTGCTATGTTTTGTTTTGAATTGGTAATCATCTGGAAAAAAAAACGAAAGAAAATATGCCCGCTTTGTTAGGTGCTACGTAACCATGCACGCACGCATGCACGCGCTAAGCACGCGGCCTGCGATCATGAAAATTAGATAATTGCAACAAACAAAGCTCCTCTGTAGAGAAAATCAAAACTCTGAATTTTCCAAATTAAAACTTTCATTTCACTTTTTTTCAGCTGAAGCATTTTAAAATCGCTTTGCATCATTCGAAAGGTACATGCAACATTCCAGAATCTGCGTCGATTCTTTATTTCGGAAAATGTCCAGATTTAAGCTTGTTACTAATGCATTTCTTTTTCCGAAATCATTGATATCGTGAATGTATTTATCTTTTAATCATACGAGGTAAGGGCTAATCCAAAAACTAAAGCAGCAGTCTTTAAGAGCCCACTATGAAGCTCTGATAAAACCCACTCTAAGCATAAAAAAAAGCAAGCATTTTTGCCCAGTTGGTTTTAATAGAAATGTTAAAGTATAAAAAGGCACCTTATGAAGGCAATAAAATACACTATAATAAATTAGCTAAATTTATATCAAAAATTAAGCTCATTGCATAAATATATCCATTTTAGAATCCAAAGCTGCACAAAGAAATATTGCATTCATTTTTCTTCATTTAAATATTTTAAATGTTTTATTTTTATTTTTATTATTATTATTATTTTTTTTTTTAGAATTGCAAAATAAATAAATAACACAAAAACCCATAAAGGATCATTTAGCGACAAGCAACAAGAAATGTTAACTTCCTCATTTGTGAGTGATGAGTTTAGGTGCACAGGGAACCAACCAAATCCTGACCATGTTAGAGCACATTAAATTATCTGGCTCAACAATTTCAAGGAAGGCTGAAAATAGCCAAATCATTCACTTCTTTCTGAATTATTCACACTTTGGTGGAAACATGGCTCAACATGCAGGGCATACACAAATATAAAAGCCATCTTTTTAAGAACAAAAAAATGTGTTGTCAGAGCTGCAAGAATAATATGAAACCCTTCATTTTAACAGCTCAGATTTTTTTATCTAAATTCTTTTTTGCTACTTTAAAGTCTTTTTATTACTTTAAGGTTTGTCCTCAAAATATCAAAAAATTCTACATGCATTAACAGTGGTTGTTCTAAAGGTTTAGCACAACCATTGTGGCAGTAATTAAAGAGAAACTAATAGTTGGCAATTATTTTAAAGTGCATATATTATACCTTGAAATGTTCAAATACAGTAAGGTGCAGCTGTCTGAGAGATACCCCCCTTAGCAGGTTCTGGATGTTTTAAATGTCATAGCATTGAAGTCTTAAATATAATCAAGATCAAAGAAATCACTCAGTTTAGGCCACATTTAGCAGTTAGATTTCAGCTTGTCTGATTATAGTATTGTATGTGATCAAAGTATTCCACAGAGCCCTCTACTTAGACTAATTCTGTTGCAATTTTAAACAATTCACAGTGCATTTATCAGTGATTCCTGAGAGTATGATTCAAATGCTTAAGTTTTAGGATGAATTATTGCCACAAATGATATGCTATTCTGTTGTTTAAAAATTGGAAAATATCAAGGTCTTCTTTTTTGTTTAATAGCTTTTAATATTTCTATCCCATTTGTTCGGAATCATTTATGATTGTGGTTATGTTGTCATTATTGACTTTCTTTTGTTTTTTAATAACAAATGTGATACTTCTTTTCTATCTATTATGCAGAATGTGCATGCCTAGTAGTTACACTACAATGATTGTTTATGACATTTACTATTTTAGAGCAAAATAGATTATTTAAATATCATGAAGCACCATACAGTAACGTGGATTAAAAGCTGTCCTACTATATCCCTTGAAATCTCTTGATGATTCAGAAGACTAGACCAGCTGAAAGTCATTGCCAGAGGTGATCACATTTAGGGGCTGTCAGTAAGTCAGTAAATCATACACTCCCATGTAAGAGGATGAAAGAGAGCACATTCAGTTAGTCATAGTTGGAGAAACAGGACTACACTAAAATACAGGCAAAGCTCAAACATCTGTAAACAAAAGTTGCAGCAGCACAGTTGATATTTCTCTTCAGGATGTAGTCATAGCCAATCAGGAACGGACCAGATGAAGCTAGTATGATGAGGAAAAAGCACAGAGAGCATAATTTTAGAGATTGAACTAACCAATACTGCAGAATGGGAGAAAAGAGGTGTCAGAATTCCTGTGTGTTAGAGAGTGCAAGTTATAAGTCTCCCTCCAGAGAGAATCTTTGGGGAGAACCTGGGTAGCCTACACAGGTGAATTCCCGAGCCAGAACCCTCTAGTGTCCCATCTCCATTCTCAGAGTCCTCTAGTATTTCCTCTCTAGGGACCCCTAAGCCTGCTCTGTGCTGTCCATAGACCCCTGAGCCTGGTCTGTACTGTCCAGAGACTCATGAGCCCGCTCTGTGCCTTCCAGAGACCCCTGAGCCCGCTCTGTGATACCCAGAGGCTCCAGAACCCCAGGATGGATCAAGGGTTAAAGGAGTGAATTGTGAGAGCTCTCAGAGGCCTTTCAGGTGGACGATCTACGCCTCAAATTGGGTTATGCCACCTCTTCCTAGGTTCCAAGCACTCGTGCCTCCAAAGAGGTTCTAGTGCCGCAGTGGGCGGTCCCCAAGGTTCCTGTCAGGGTTCCTGTGTGTTAGTGAGTGCGAGTTATGCATCTCCCGCCAGGGAGGACTTTGGGGAGAACCTGGGTAGCCTACACAGGTGAAGATAATGTTCCTAATTAGAGTGCTGGGCTTAAAAGAGCAGCAGAGCCTTCACTCGTTTCTTGTATGTTGTAGAGGTTTGGTTAGATGCCTTCTAGTCTCTAGCTTCTCCCAAGTATTTTCCCTGACGTTATTGGTTTTTGTTTGGTTTTCAGTATTTTTGCCTCTGTTCCTCTTGGACTTTAATTAAATCGACCAAACTCATCCATTGCAACACCTCTCTGCATTTGGCTCCTCAAAACCTCCACACAACCTGACAAGGGGTCCCTATGTCCTACAGAAGTCTAAGCCTACAGCAGCATAACTGTAGAGATAGCCCAAGATTACCTGAGCCTCTCTAACTATAAGCTTTATCAAAAAGGAAAGTTTAAAGCCTACCCTTAAAAGTAGAAAACGTGTCTCCCTGATGGACTAAAACTGGTAGTTGGTTCCACAGGAGAGGGGCCTGATAACTAAAAGATCTGCCTCCCATTCTACTGTTAGAAATTCTAGAAATCACAAGTAAACCTGCAGGTTGAGAGCGAAGGTACAATCATATCTCCGATATAAGATTGGGCTTGGCAATTTAAGGTTTTATATGTGAGAAGGTGCATTTAAAGCCACTGAGAGAAACTAGAATAGGAGAAATAAGATCTATCTATCTATCTATCTATCTATCTATCTATCTATCTATCTATCTATCTAGATAGATAGATAGATA